AGCAAATCTCATAGCTGGTGTTACTTTAAAACCATTCAAAATAAAAATTGAGCCCTGCTGTTAATTCCAGAGAAGAAAATGTGATAACACCTGAGCTGAATTTAATATAGTAAATCCAAAATAAGATTTGGGAAAAAAACACAAAACAATCCTATTGTTGTCTAGTTGAATCTTTTTCTCGCTCTTAAATTTAAAGGAAAAAAAATAATGAAAAATAAATTATTCTGATTCATGGTTTCCTTACCACTGTTTTCTGAGGTTTTACACCAGAGTATAAGCTACTGAAGCAAACTTGTATTCATTGTGCTTGGGATTTGTGCTTATCATGGGGTTCATATATCTTTATCACCCTTTAAAGAACAGCAGTAAAAAAAAAACCTAGAAAGCCTTTCCCATTAATCATTTCAAGTGAACTCACATTTTTAAAATAAGGACAGAGGCATGTTGTTCTTAAAATGCACTCCTTTGCTGTTGTTTTAATAACATTTGCACTCCAATTCCTCATAGGAAGAAGAAGGTATGCACAGCTTGGCTCTAGAAAAGCATGATTTTCAATTTTTTCCTGCAGTTTTAATTCCATTATTCCTGAATATTTGTAACTACTGCCATCAGCATCTAAGCTGCTCACCTGCATTGAAGACCATTACACCGATTACTAGACCTCCTAGTAATTATGAGAAAAAACACTTGACAAACTGGTACGAGAATATCAGAACGATAAATCAGAATGACAGCACTGTGTCATACAAACACCTTATGTGAACATCTGCATGTCCATATATTAAGATTAAAATTATCAACAATCAACAAGTCAACACTTCTTTATTGTGATACCACTGAGTTAAATAAGCAAAAAGAACAGCTTTATAGCATTTAAAAACTTTCATTCTGGTACAGAGCTGAAAGACACAAAATGTATCATTGTCTGAATGTACCAGAAATTTTGAAAATAATTTTTTTTTGAGGTGATTTAGTTTTAACATAGACATTAGCAAGGAAACTTTTATTGTATCAAGATTCCTAAAATATTGGTTTATCCTTAAATCAGACCTACTTGCTATTAAACATTATTTAAAAACTATGTGTCAGACATTCACTACCAAAACCTAATTATCACTGGACATAAGCTTTCTAGATCAAAGGCTTAGTTTCCATGGCAGTACCTAAACTGCCCTCTTAAGTAACAGCTCATGCATCAAATTAGCATTGATACTTACTTAATGTAAGAAGAATGAAAACTAAATTATGTTAACTTCTCCCTAAACCCAGAGAAGTAACCAAGATTTAGGAAAGTAAAATTTGCAAATCTGTAGTGTATTGGTGTAAATAATTGGTGTGATTTTTATGTAAATAACACTGGCAATGCTAACTAGACTTGCAGTATGTTGGCCTTAGCACAATAAAGGTCTGAACTAGCTTACAATTGACGCTTTTTATGAAGAATAATAAGACAGATGAAGAGAAATATTTTTTTTCAGCGATTGCTCATGGAAAATATTTTTGATTTGTGGAACATACACAATTTGAGGTTTTCCTGTAACCCTAGCTAATGTCCTGGTAATCTTTTGATGCTCATCAGTAACACATTTTTATGCCTATAAGCATTTTTTCTACATCTTTTTCAGTTTAAGTCTCATTAAATCTTTAGCAGCCATGAGTAATAGTATCAAAGAAGATAATATAGGATTCATTGTGTCATACAATACCTATAGCTTCTACTACACTAGCAAATGGGAGTAAAATTAAAGCCTTCTGTAGAAATGTTAGTTACAGAGAGAAAAAAGGCTTGCTTAATAATGTCTTCAGTGAAGTTTTGTCAGTAAACAATACGGTCAAATTATGTCTATTAAAAATATTTTCAGAATGACTCCTGATTAATTAATAAATTCTTTATTACTATAGATTACTGAAGTGATAGACACTATGCTTCCATTATAAATCTTAAGTATAACTGTCAATTTGCCATTGGGCTCTTGGCTGAACATGGAACACACAGAGCTAAAAATCTCAAATGTCTATGCCTAAGCCAAGTCTCCTAGGGTTGTATTCATACATTTAAACAAAAGGCCTAATGAAGACAAACTTAGGTCTGAACATACAGTTGAATAACTTGTGCTTTCAGATCTGGATATTTTTTCAGATCCTGATTTTTATTTTTTTTTCTCACACCAAATTAATTGAAAAAGTGGACAACATAATAATTCCAGTAAGTGACATATTGCTGTAAAGTACGCCGTCAGCACTAATATCAGCAATAAACATTGTTGCTCAACATATTACTTACTTGCTCTTTTTTGGGTAAGGGTAATGGCAATCAAGTTTATGCATAAACGCAGAACTCTATTACACTCATGAGTTGTAACTGAGGTCAGGATTAGCCTGTATAGTATGGAAGTACCATATTATTTATATTCAAATTATTTAGGCACTGAAGCCAACAGAAGAGGACTTGAAGGGTCTAAAGATCTGTTGCAAAGTGGGGAGAAGGCATAGAACATAACATTTCTTGTGAGTATATGTGTGTATATGTGTGTGTGTATATCAGAAAGATGGTGAAAGAGTGAAAGAAGTAGATTAAGTGGTTGCACTGCATACACTTAAAACTTACAGTCATAATAAACAAATAGAAAAAGTATCATATGATGCTTATCTAAAATATTTGAGTTGTTCTATTGCAAAAATGCAATACAAATTACTAGATGATACTGTAACTTACATGCAAATGAATAATATCTGACTTCTAAAAAATACATTAAAAAAAAATAGTTACACAGCATGTATGATCAAAACACATGACAGCTTTTTAGTTTTCTTGAAGTAAACTGGGTAGCAACCTGGGATAAATTTTGTCAGGTGTGTTTATGCAAATAGAAATTTATCAGTTGGTAGTATTTCCATCTTTTATTTTTCCTATCCCTAAATGCCTTACAGAGCAGTGAGTTGCATTAAAAGCAGAGGCTAAAATATCACTCAAAATCTGTTGACTGGAAAAAGCAGAGTAATCTGTTTTGATCTAAATACTGGCAGAGCACTTGAAGTGAGTACGATAGGGAGAATGTGCCCCTGTAACTCTATTACCTCACTTGTACCTTAACCTCATAGCTATACCGATATCTAAGACCATCTTTTACATGGTATTGTTATGTATGGATTGTTGCAAAGTTGTATTCCAGATACATATATTATGCAGCTGACATAAATTAAGCAGGAGTTTCTTGTGAATTCACACTTGCACTTTGCAACTGTGAAAAAAGCTGTGATGATAATAATGGCTTTTAAAGTCTAAAACCCAATTTCTACTACGTTACGTTTAAGAGAGAGAAAATGCCTATTGCTATTTATTACTTATGCTATTAGTTCTCTGAAAATGACTTTCTATTAATCACAGTGTGACCTTGCCATTAAGGGGCAGTTGTTGGAGCCAGAGAATAACTGCAATAGTCGAGTGTATGAACTGAACTACGACAGTGTTCATGCACTGGAGGAGGCACAATGAAATTAGATTCTCTCCCTGTAGGGGGTAGACGTTGACCGCTGTCTGATGCCGGTAACTACAGGTCTAAATATTTCTTCCAACTCAGTTGTTTTACCTTCCTAAACTTCCAACTTCATCCCTTTTAAATTGCCATATTTAAAAGCTTACTGTTATCAGACTGGATGTTGGTTTTTAGCAGCAGGATTGGACTAATGGCCATCATGCACAAAGGATAACTGTAGCAGCCTAAAGCCATGGCTAATTAAAAGGACCATATATACTTGTCTGTCCAACAGTGAAGAAAATAACTCTTCTGCAGAAAGGAAGACTACTGAATGCATTTTATAGGCATAACTATGCAGGCTCATTTGTTCCACTTCCAGTGTTGACAACAGCCACCAACCTGGGTAATAGTTCAGAATAAATTAATCCTGAAGTGAGAAGTGTTGTCTCATTGGATCCTCCAGAAAATAAATTCAGACATACTTCTGGTATGCATTCTTACACTGTGTCATCATCTACTTGAGACGCTGGCAGATCCTTTTTATACTGCATATGTTTATTTCTCACAGAACATTTTGTATATGCAACGGACACGTTCTTTTACATTGGCTGACATTCCACCTGAAAGTCCATCACAGCAAGCTTGTTAATGTGCTTCAGGATATACAGTACAGTAGTAAACAGACTCCCAATAGCAAAGTAAAACTCTGGTAGGAGGCTTGATGAATATGTGTGTGCTAAGATCAAATCTTGACTTCAAGTTCAAGCGCAGTTTAACAGCAAATCCGAAGTTGTAAATGCAAAGTAAAGGTAATTTTAAGGCTGCTTTAAACCAAGCATGAAAGACTGAGGAGTCAAAGTTGAGATTCTATACATCTGGTTCTAATATGCCTCTTGCATTTTAGACAAGAAACCTCCTTTTTTTGTTTCAAGCTTTACTATCACTGTAGTGGATACAGTTTGTTGGTTTATATTTGGCAACATTGTCAGTACATTTGAATCAATGGCTTGGTAAACAAATTAATGTGGCTTTCTTTTGGAGGTTAAATTACTTTTATTTTTCAAAGTCCAACATTCCTAATTCTTGTTTCCTCATTTCCCTCCTCTTCCTCCCCTCTCTCTCAGAAAAAAAGATTTAGATAAGTATTTTAATTTCTTCATTTAAAGATTTTCATTTATGCATTTTATAATAAAAAATATTAAATCTTACTTCTGCTCAGTAGACAGATATTGTACAGACACATATCTTAATAGAGAAAGGGACCTATGTGTGACTGATATCATTATATAGCTCAGTTTTAGATAAGAAAGCTGCTTCAGACCAGCTGTATGGTCTGAGTAATCAGGCTGAAGTGGCAGGACAAGGGCACTGTGTAAAATGAAACAGGAAGAAATGCACAGGGGATCTGCATGCAAACATTATTCTGCTTCTTTTCTGCCCAGCCTTTAGAGGATTCTCTCAAAAGTAAACACAGTTAATTAATTCCCAAGTAAAATAAGTAAATGCAAATTTTCCACTTACTGTGTGCTGTGCTTTGTCCGTGCACTGAAGAGAAGAGACAGTTCTGCAGCGCTCACCTAGATCCAGGTTGCTTTCTAAATTAGTCATACATGCAAGCTGGAGGAAGCTCATTGACTTTTTAACTGTGCAAAGAGCAACCCATCTCACTGCTGCTAGACAACCCTTCAGGACACTGTGCTGAACTTCAGCACAAGAGCACGGCATCTATTACGCTTGAGGCTCTACCATTTCACCTACACCTGGGTGGATCTATCAAGCTTCATCTCTATTAGGGCGGTTTGACTATGTGGTTTAAAGAAAAAAAATAAAAAGAGAGAGGGGGAGAGAGGGAAAGAGAGAGGGAGAGCGAGAGAAAAAAGGGCTTGCCGTTGTCACACTTGTTTCCTATTAAAGAGCCTTACGGTGGATTGAGTAATTGTGTACGAAGGTAGTCTGGCTGGCAGATGTGTGCAGCCCCAGTGGAGCACTAGATTCAAGGCAGATGGGTTGTACCAGGGCGCAAACAACACTGGAAAAAGAGAGGCGTGATTAAAACAGCAGGCCGCCGTTTTACAGTGCTAGAAGTGGGGATAGCATGAAAGCTCCCAGGAACTAAAGCTCCCCAAAATGGGAACTGTACAGACACAAGCTAACTGCAATAAAGCAAACCTGATAAAGCACAGCGGATGATCAAATTGACCGAGTTATGCAATACTGAAACCATCATGATTATTAATGAGCCTCTCTCCCCTCCTCCTCCTTGCAGGCACTTGCATTAGAAATACTCAGTTGCAAAGAGCATGAGCATGGGTTTATTCAAAACAGAATCCTGAGCTACCGTACAGTCTGAGGCATCTTTTGGAAATGGATTAGAGTTACTTTGAGGGTTTTACATTGTCTGTCAGGTCTGGTTCAGCTTAAAAGAAAAAGAGAAGCTGAGTAGTGGGAGTGAATCTGCTGTTAACGGTTATTTCTGAGACTGGTTGAAGCAGATCGTCAGAGAAGTGAACAAGGAATCCTTATTATAAACTTCTGTCAGACATGCATAGGGACAAAATCAGCCCTGGTATAGCCACACCAGTATATGTCAGGGGTGATTTTGTCATGATGCCTGTCTTAGGTTATTGAATCTTGGCTACATCAGATGGTTGGAGAATCCCTGTTATCGCAACAATGGTTTGTAATGGTACACGTTAAACTCCTACACAGACAGGAGAGAAAGGCTACTTGTATAGTACTGAAGTGATCTCAAGTGCAGAGCTCCCATGTGTGAGCTCATGTGTGCACTGGCTGTCTACTTTGAGGTTTAAGTAGAATTTAAATAAGGTGTACCCACTTTTTGCTGGACTTCTACTCAGAAGTGATGAGTCTGATAAAATTCCCTCATTGAATCTCTACTGCAGTTTTTTTCCACCAACAGTGAAAGGCACCACAACACAGATGCCTGCATGTGAGCCTGTCACCCTGGGATGCCTTTGTGTCAATGGTGAGAAACAGGGACTGCTAGAAGGCAGCTAGTCTGAGCCTATGTAGATATCTAAAAGAGGTTGAGTGCATCACATCCTGTTCCTATTGATTATCATGTTATTTCAGATTTGAGCAACTAAGCTAAGTCCCCCACTCTGCATGTCTGATCCTCAACCAGTTTTAATTAACACTGATGAGTATAGTTACGATTTTTTCATAAGAACTGAGACTATGGTCATGCAGCCCAAAACAATACTACTACAGTATTCTAGGATACCATTGTAGCATAATATAGTACTTATTTATTGTGTATAGGGAAGGCTGGTCCTTAATATCTACCAGCTGTTTTATCAGACCCTTTAGACAAGAATGGTTTATATACAAAATCCTATGGATATTTCCCATGTAAGCTCTTGTTATTAATTTTTCAATAAGGCCCATTCATATCCAGGTAACTGAAACAGCAAAGGAAACATAAAAAATGGGCAAATATTTTTCTTTTCATAACAAAGTTCCTTTTTTTTTTTTTTTTTTTTTTGTTGTTTTGTGCAACAGGACTTTCACAAGAATGTATTTTTCATTGTTTAAGAAGCTTGATTTTTGGCACGCTCTTCTCTCCTAATGAAGTTTCTCAGCCACACAAAAGAAATGAAGCAAGAAGTAGGGATTAATGAGCCTTAAAATTCATATTACAGGAGTTGCCTATACCTACAGTTAGAAGACATCTAAATTTAAAGTTAATCAGAATTCTTAAATTCTGAATGTAGCAGTAGCAGAATATCTCAGACCTCAGAACACTGAACAGTTTGTTGTCATTTTCATGCTTAAAGGGTTTCACCTTCAATCTAGAATCATTTTGTCAGACTGCTGATGGAGTAGCCTTGTACAAAATGGACTTCCAGTTTTCAAAGACAACCAAATGGATTCTAACGCACAACCCTACTGTCCAGACAATAGCAACAGGCTTGCTGGAATTAGATGCTTTCAATGCCTGAAATTTTCATGAGATAGGAAAGGATTCCCTGGCTCAGATTTAGAATGGGACAGATATACTTTTCAGCCTGGTAGCTGAAACATTCAGCTGAGGCAACAGAGTTGGAAAATGTCTCCTTTCCTATTTACCGCAGACTGTTTAGTCAAAGACAGTTTAATGAAATTATACAAACAGTCTTTGATAGGAGGCAGAGCTGGATCTGATCCCTTCAGGAAGAGAAAGGACCAAACCAAGGATCTGGATACTTATATTCCAGAAGAGGATTTCAATAGAAATATTTTAGAGTGAAAGGGAGCTCTGTTACAAGCATCACTTCTGCCCTTGCCCTGCCTTCTCTGACCTTCTGAAATGAAATCAGGAGACATATACTTGCAGGGAAAGAATCTAAGTGAAAGAAGATGAAACATTATCTGACATATAAATGAGACACATCAAATACACAGAAGGAGGCGTTCAGCAATGACATCTTCTTGTTTCCTGTGGCATCTCACTCAGCACACTGGGTGCTGAGGATTACGTTCTTGGTTCCTGGGGTGCTGTAGAAATGGTCACGGTGTGTGCACAAAAGAGCAAAGAGAGCTACAGTTGCCCAAAGGCCCCTCAGTAGTCAGTGAAGTCAGATGGATCTACAAGTGGTAGCAGCCTGTAGGCAACAGACTGGGGAGAATAATATTGTTTAAGAACGTCTGTGCTCTCAATTATCTCCATATCCAAAATTATACAGTTTTCATTTTCTGCGTAATCCTTTACCAAGGTGACTGACCTGTGTAAAGAACAAGTAAAAACTAGCAGGGTCTGTGGCTTCTCTCTACTCCTCATCCAACCATTGGGAGTTGTTAGAGGATGACACTATGCTACTTTGAGAAGTCATTGACATATCTTGAGTCTTTCTCATCTATTCATGCAGAAATTGCTGCAGTTATTATTAAGGAACTGCTATAGGGTTCTGGATTGTCCTTTATATTTAAAATAAGAATTTTCCAGGGAAATTATCTTTTTTTTTTCATGTAGTTCCTAGCATGTAGTTTTATTTGGTTTCTGAGAAACTTCCAGAATGGTGGAGTTGATTTTCCTCCCATTTACTCCTCTGCAACTCAGCGACTTCAGGATAAGTCCTTTCCTGACATCTCTAAGAGTGTTAGGATGGCTCTGCTGTCTATGAAACTGTTACATGACCACCCACTATTAAACAGATGTTCCCTGGCTCAAAATATAAATAGAGTCTGGAGCGTGAAGCTGGCTGTGATTTATTTAGGTAACTGTGACCTTGTATGGAAATATTCTCACTTTTTTCTTTTTGGCAACAACCCCTTTGATTTTTCCATTTTTTATTTTCTCCTGGGTTAGAAATGGGATTTTCCTTCACATATAATTATACTGAGATTTACCTGAGTTACAGGATGTAAAAAATGCTTTCTTCAGGAAAATATAGGCAGAATGGGAAAAAAAAGAAAAAGAAAAAAAAAAGAAAAAAATATTCATATTTTTAGAAACTGAGTCCATATTCTCCCTTTAGTGAATTGATTCAGGTTATACCCTGCATCTCAGAAAACTAAAAGATTCAAGTGTCTTGTTCAAAAAACCTAATATTCAGTCAATATCTCCCATAGGATGTCTCTGATTTCTTTCTAAAAAAAATCTCAAGAAATTGTAAGAACTGTCCCATTGGACTACTGACATTGCAGGGGGGACTGGCAGCAGACTGGTAGCAGAACTGTGTCTGCAATGGGAAGGCAAGAGAAGATGAGGTGGTAACTGGGAGAGACTCAGTGAATTGGCTGTGGAATGATGGAGCTCATCTGGAGCAGCTGTCAACGTAAGGATTTCACTGGCACCTTCTCTCTGGCAAAAGAAGCCTGGACTTTCGATTGGAGATGGGTAGAAAAGATCACAGAAGCTACACAACCCCTAAGAGAGTGGTGCCAAGCTTCTAGGCTTGGTGGTCATTCCCTGACACCAGTGGTGGAGATGCCTACATGACACATCTCTCTGCTACCTCTGTGCAAGTTACTCCTTGTGCACATTAGATCAAGCTCTGCCTAGCAATACCGGAATTGCAGGTCACACACTGAATGAGTGTCTTTATGGCCATCAAATTTGTAAGTTTTTTCAGAAGCAATAAATTCATGGGGAAAAGGATGCAGATAGTTTTAAGGGAGGATAAATATAATGTCGGGGAGCAGAGGCAGATGGCTAGACTGCCGAACAATTCATCCCACCCCTGTCTGCTCCCAAGCTACCTATGACAGAAAAACCTGTCTTTGAGGATCCCATATAGCCCACACACCACTGCAAACTGAGGGCCTCTGACTTGGGCCAGGAGATTTAAACTGCCCTCAAATTGGTTTTTGAGGCTAGATAATGAGTTGTGTGTATTGGATGTAACTGAAGGGGGCAGGACGTAACCTTGACTGCCCCTTGCTGCTGTAGGAAAAGATCAGGGCCAGGGCTGGGCCTTGGGGACAGCAGTTTCACTTTCTGTTAATTACTTATGTTTCCCAAGACGATGTTTTAGAGGGTCTCCCCCCAGATAAAACTCTGTTCATTTAACTCACTTCATGCAAACCTATGTTTTTTAAATGAGGAAGTACTTCTTATTCTGAAGGCCCAGACAGGGATATTTATTTTCCCAAGTTTCTGGGTAAGGGCCTGAGATGGTGTCATAAGAATTTTAGCAAGAATGCCTAGAAACCAAAACCAGGCACTCTCTATTGTGAGACTGGAAATTCCTGGAAAAAAGATTACAGTTTTGTAGCTAGATGAATAGTGTATGAGAAATAAATTGCCCTAGAACTCAAGATTATTTTTCTAGTTACAAAATGTGAATTTCACTAACACTGTATCATCTATAGCAGGAATTGTATAGCCCTGACTCAAATGTGGCAGAAGGTGGTGGAGGGGAGAAGATGCAAAGGCATCATGTAACCACATTGCATGATTTGGGACCGTGCCCACAGCAGCGAGTGATAATT